TTCTGTATATAATGATCTCATGGGAGAATTAGAAAGGAAAACAGATGTCAGGTTAATAACCTCTTGGGGAAAAGCAAAAGCAATAATCATAGTAAGACCTGACCACAGTGTGTCTTGGTTGGTACTGTTACTACTAAGCTTTGTCTCATGAGGCAAGATCAGTCTAGCCTCCCAAGATTAGACATCCACTTCTAATGTGCCCTTGGATCAAATGGACCAATGCAGAGCAGGACTCGGCTTCTCATGACAGGTCTGTGAAAAGACCATGTGCTGGGGAAGGTAACTGCTGATGTGCTGAGATGCAGCTCTGCAAAGTCCCTTTTGAACAAGAAACTGGAGTTGGGGCCCAGTACTGTTCAAAGCCATGGTCTAAAAGAGACCGTTAATATCATATAAGTCGCCAGAGACAAGAATAAAAACATTCTTGCCTAGGGGATTTCAGGAACATGGGAGAAAGCAGGGAATTTTTGTCAAGAGAACACGCCTGGATCCCAGAAGAATCATACTGATGGATCCTCAACTTTTCTTAAGGCAAGCCTAGACTCTCAATATTGGCAGAAGCCTACTGCTAAATTAACAGGCACTCTGTAATTTCACTGTATCACTAGCTGTGAGCTGGAGAAAAGTCCTTTTTTAATTTTCTAATGTCATTTATCTCTAGCCTTAATACATTGACTTAGCCTCTGGGTTTGTTTGTTTGTTTTTTTTTCTCCTCAGGAGGGGGACTATTGTCTCCAGTAAAATATAGTCATGTCTCAGCAATCCATTTATTGCTTATCCACTTGATGGGCTTCTCAAACAACATTTTTAATTCCAGGATGATTTCCTCTTTGTGGGGGAGAAGTTGCTTCAACTATTTATTGTTCTGTGCTTAGAGAACGAAAACTAATTTTAAGATTAGCCTCGCCCAAAATTATGATAGTAACCTCCTAACAAATCTCACATCCACCTTTTCTACCATTCTTTCTTTATCCCTCCAATAAAATACATACTGTATTCTAAAGACGAATCTAAATAATTGCTTGCTTATCTTACTTGAAATGATCTCTTCAGTCATCAGCCTCTCTCCCTCCCTCTGTGGGAGAGTTAAAGGCTCCCCATAAAAGACCAGCATTCAGCTGAACAGTTAGTTCTGGTTTATTTTGGTTTGTTTGTTTTTAATACAGAGACCATGTAATACAGGACACTATGAAATATACTTCACAAAATATCATCTTCTGAGTGGAAAATTTTGAACATGTTAGCCATTCTCCTCTGAAACAGGATAGCCTGGGCTAGAGCATTATGCTGGTTTTCAGGAGTAATGATAATTCCCTCCCTACTTGAAATACATTTATTGCTGAAAAGCCCGGTTTGAACAAACTACTCTTGGCAACAGTATTTCCCCCAATAGCTCTGAATCAATTCCTAGATCAAAACCTCTTTCCTAGAGAACTATTTCTGAATTCTCATTTGAGAGGACCTGCTGGGTGATTTTAAGTTCATGAAATAATTCCCTGAGTGAAGTAGTTGCCACACAATAAACTCTCCAAGACTTAGCTCGTCCCAAATCAAGCAGAGGAAGCTCATTAGCTGAAGGGTAGGAAAATGACTTGGTTCTAATAAAAAATAGATGATCATGAATATTTCTCTGTCTTAACTTGGTCCACAAGAAGAAAGACACATCTGGAAGCAACTGTAATAACTTCATTTAGCCAGGTGGTTGCTGTTTTTAAGAGTTCTTTTTGAAATTTGGTTCAATGAAACATTTTATAAACTCAAAATAAGTACCTGCGGTTATAAATTCTTTTAAAATGAAATTGATTTCTCATTCAACTTCTGAGTTTGGTTTTCAGTTTAGCAAGAATGGAAAACCAGATCTTTCTTCTGCCTAAAAATCCACAGAATAAAATAGTACGATCACTTTGGAAAACAGTTAAACATAAATTTACATACAGTCCAACAATTCCACTCCTTGGTTTCTGCTCAAGAGAAATGAAAATACAACGTCACACAGAGATTGGTAAACAAATGCTCCTAACAACATGATTCATAATAGCCAAAAAGTGGAAACCATCTAATGTCTGTCAACTGTTGCATGGATAAACAAAATGAGGCATATCCATAAATGCACTACAATTTAGCAACAAAACACCTACTGCAACATGGATGATCTTAAAAAATATTCTGCCAAGAGAAAGAATCCGTATTGCATAATTTTATTTATATGAAATGTCCAGAAAAGGCAAATCTATAGAGATGGAAAGCAGATTTGTGTTTGCCTAGGGCTGGAAGGTGGGAAGAGAGATTAACTGCAAAAAGGCACAAAGGATTTTTCAGGGTAATGGAATGTTTTAAAACTTGGCGGTGTTGACTGACGGTTGCAAGACTCCATACATTTACTAAAAATCAGTGAGTGATACAAATAAAATGGATGAATTTTATGATACATAGATTACACCTCAATAAAACTGTTTTTAAAGGTATGCCCACACAGACACACACAGGGAGACACACAGAGACACACATACATGCTGGTTTCTCCACCACCCAGAGAGTAAAGTCTGAAGTCCAAATTCTCTAACATAGCATGAAAACTCTATCCCCTTCTCCCTCTCCAGTCCAATGGCCTTCATTTCCCACAAACACAACAGTGCAATAGATTTTCCCTTTCCCAGAACATGCGGTGCTGTTTCACATTTCTGCACTTTCTCCCCACCTGAAAACCCACAACCCCTTCTCTACCCAGGGAACTCCTACTCATCTTTCAAGACACAATGTCAGTTAAACTTCTCTGAAGTGGTACCTTAGCTGTCTCAATCAGAATAAGTTCCTTCCTCATCGTGTTCCCATAGAATCGATGTATGTGTATGTGTGCGTCTTATGTGTGTATGCGTGCATGTGTTGTATGTGTGTGTGTGTGTGTATACCATTTCTTATTTGTATTATAATCATTTGTTTACAATGCCACCTCCACTGTGGGTTTTTGTGTTTTTTTGGAAGGCAGAAAAAAAAAACCCTATATACTAATGGCTATTTTATGTTGAACATTTACTCTTTGCAATGTGCTTTTTACATGTTACTTCTAATCCTCATAACATCCCTGTAGGTGAGAAATTACTGTCTCCATTACCCAAATGAGGAAATCAAGGCTCAAAGAGGAGGTACAACATGTGTAGGATCACACTGGCAGTAAGCAGGAAAACTGAGATAAAACCCATATAAGCTAGACTCCAAAAATCCATGTACTTTTAACTAAAGTGCTTCTGGTTCACAAGTAGAACATAAAGAAGAAAGGATACATATATTTAACGTATTGTAATGGCAAGAGTTGTTAAGACCTGATTACTAGTATCCATTCTATCACTGATCATTTAATGTTGGAAAAGTCATTTGACAACCTGGGCCTCAGTTTCTTTATCAGGAAAATAAGAAGTTGGACTAGATAATCTCCAAAGTTCCTTCTGGTTCTAAAAATTCTGATTCTATGTGCCATCTTGCAACCACTGGAAATCAAATATACCAAACCAGCGCACACTCTTTGATGATAATCTGTAATCTCAACACAGGCCATATCTGGTGATGTTACCATAATACACTACCATGGGCTGATCCCAGCAGCATAAGTGCTTGAACATTTCTTGTGCTATTTCTTAAGCAGCTGTTAAAGAGTAGGACAGGACTCCCAATTCTCTCTGACTGCATGCTTTATGAGATAGTACCCAACACTTGAACTTCTACACTGCCTTGATGTCCATCTCTGTCCTAGCACAGGCTGTCAACATTACTCACCTAATAAATGCTACCTGCACAGCACCAGGCATTGCTCCAGCTGATTTGCAAGTATTCACAAGTATTCTCCTAACCTGCCTCTTCCCTACAATTCATTCAATATATTGCCAGATAAAGTTTCCTGAAACGTAGAAACTCTCACTGTGTCATTCCTCTGCTGATAAGCAACTTCCACCCCCCAGCCCAGCATTCCATTTCTTATAAAGTCAGAATCCTAAGTCTGGCTTATATGTTCTGTGGTTTAGTCCCAATCTATTTTTCAAACCCTTTTCTTCTACCACTTTATAGTCCTTGCATTCCAGGCAAAATAAATTACCTAAGGGTCACTGTATTCAAGGGAGATTTTTAATAGAAGTATAATTTCTATGTAAACATAGATTTAAACAATATCATAAATCACTGTAAAATTTAGAACATGCTTTCCTGCTAGCATACAAACTGGACTCTGTCCATGCAATAGGTTTATGCAGCTTCTTGTGCTGGTCTCTTTCTAGAATGCCCTTTCCCATCATCTACGTATTTCAAATTCTTCAAATGACCTGCCATGTCAAGTGCCCAATGTGGTAACTGACATGTAAGTATTCAATACACATCTTTAGCTATTCAAAGCTGCTTTCTGTCCCTCTCACTAGTAATTTCTCTCCCTCTCTGAACTCATACAATCTCTCTCAAGGAGCTTACTAGTTTCTATTTTGTTTTATATTATTTAATGTGAATGAGAATCCCAATGATCAAAAGCTCTTGGAGAAAAGGGTATTGGGTCTTAGTTCTATGTGTACCCAGCACCAAACACAATTATAAGTGCTCAATAAATATTTCTTTAATGAACGAAAATAAAATTAGTGGGAGCCACCAGAGTGGCTGACATCTGGAAATGGAGTGGGGATGGAGTGGAGGTGCTATTATGTGCCAAGTACCATGCTGAGCACAACTTCATCCATTATTTCATTTACTCCTTTAAAAAACCCTAAGTAGGTGCTAATAATATCTCCATCTTACAGATGAGGAAACAGGGTTAGGGAAACTAAGACATTTGCCTAGGTCAAACCAAGTCTGTTTGGGTCTTCCCAGTACTGTACTTGTCGGCTGTCCCTCTTCTAATCTTTCATCACCTCAAGGATGTTTCTAGGACAACACAAACTGCGGGGCGAGCCGCGCAGTTTCCTGATGAAATCCCCGGAGCGCGGGAGTGAAGAGCGCACGGACCCCGCCCGCCGCGTCGCTGGTGACGTCATTACGCAGGGCCGAGGCGGCGCGGCCACGTCCTTTAAATAAGGCCTTCCGAGGGCGCGCGCGACAGTGTGAGGAGTGGGGTGGAGCGTGTGTGGAGTGGGGGCCGCGGCCCGGGTCAGAGCCGCCGCGGACCACGAGGTGGGAGGAAAGGATGCCTTGCAGCCGAGACGCGGAAGGGAGGGCGCTGCCTTGCAGGCGGGCACGCGCGTGAGGGTGGGAGGAGGGAACATGGCGGCCCCTTCGGTCGGGCCAGGACCCTGCGCTCCAGGTTTTGGCGCGGCCCCCTCCCTCTGGCTTTGCTCGCCCCTTTACTTGCCTTACTGGAACCTTGTTTCTCCTACCGTCCCTTTTCCCTCAGCCATTCCTTTTGTCTTCATCAACTCTCCCTCCCCAGCCCCAGATGATGCCATAATGTGAGAGGGGGATTATGTGGGGGCAGGTCAGGCCCGTCAGGTACTGAGAGACCGACTTCTAAATTTGACTGCTAGTTTCTCACATACCACTTTATCAGTACGTTTGGGATGACAGGAGAAGCACAGAACATAGAGTGGTCAAATCAGATTTGCAGTCCTGGTGATTCCTCTGATTCTGTGAAATGTCATTTAAGTCACCTGGACCTCAGTCTCCTCAAAAGTGAGGTTCTTTTTGAAAGATTCTTGATATCCAGAGAGTTTTTGTCCAGCATTGCTTGCCAGAATTTGTCCCATAGCCGTGTATGGTTGGGAAAACGGAAGCAAGGTTTGGGCAGTAAGGGAATAGAGGGGAGCTAAGACTTAACAGCCCCATGCCCTTAAGTGATCTAGTATGTAAGCAATGAGAACACCATTCAGTTTTGACTCTTTATTTCCACAGTGAGTGTCCTGAAAGTTATGTTACCGGAGTAAGTTAAATGGAAAAGGATTCCTACATCAGCATTGCTGTTCTGCTACAAAGAACCTTGGGGATATTCATCTGTGTGCTGTATTCTGTTTTAGGTGTCCCTGTCAGTTGAGGGTAGGTGTTACAGGTTCTTCCACACCTAAGTTAACAGCCCCTGGCCCAGCCAGTCACCTGCTTTTGATCTTGACCTTTTGTTTTTCCTCAGTTGAGTGTAGATTCTGGAGAAATTTTGCCTCCGCTGGAGTCTGCACTGCGAGGCAGCAGAATTGTGAGCTAGAGTGAAGCAGAAATCTAGGAATATGACCTCCATGATGGCCATGGGTGAACCAAGGCTGAACTGGTGAGTTATGTCTGTTTGAAATCTAAAGAGGAATGAAGTGGGACTGGCGGCTGGATGAGGAAAGGAGGGTTTCTGGCCTGGAGAGATTTGGAGGAAACAAAAAGAAGATACGAGTTCAGTGGCTCAGAATGTACCCTGGTCTTACCTTCACATACTGAGCACTTTTGAGTCATAGCTGATTGCACTTCCTCTCCTAAAATGACAAAAGTTCATCACTCAGATTACTACTAGGTATAACCCCATCATGTATTTATTATTTATTGTTGGTCTCTTAGTGAAGGAGAGAGGCTAGAATTCTCTTGCGTCCAAGAACCTTGCCCATTTCTGTACAACTAATAGAAAGACCCTCTTTCTAATAGACAAGCTTCATTTTGTTATATTAGAATCTACATCAAGTGATAATATAAATGCATAGACTGTGTTTTAGAAGTGTATGAGAACTTCACAAATAGCACACTTGGTAGGTGTAGTTTTGTAGGGATCTAATACATGTGCTGTTTTAAATCAATTTAACACAAATTTACTGAGCATCCACTCTTTGCTAGACAAAGAGAATACTAAAGTTATAAGAGATTACAAAGATGATTTAAATAGTACCTGACTCATAAGATTCAATCAATATGAGCTCAATAAGTACTTTTTTTTATATTGCCAACAGTGCTCCCTTACCCCAAGGAGCTCATTGCCTTTGAGCCCATGAATTTGTTTTTGTATGATATGCAAAAATCTTGTAACTTAATGAGCTTTTACAGATACAATACCATAACAAGTAATAAGAAATTACACTGTTGCATAGCAAGTAAGACATTCTAATTTTTATCATTTATACTTTAACCATAGTTGTGGGTTTTTTGATAAACACCTTTAAAAACAATGAGTATGGAGCAAATATGCTAAACTTTTCTGTTTTGGGAATGGGCCAGCCAGAAGTTACCATTTAATGGATTGTTCTGTTGTAAGTTTTAGGAGGTGTATATATTTATGCTCCTTGTCATAAAGAACGTGTTCAGATGCAGGACAGATGCTCTTAAATGCTATTTACATTGTGAAACCAAATGTAGTTTACAGCCCTTGGAAGTACCTTTTCCCACAGAATCTTAATAATCTTTGTCCTTTCTAGGTTATGGTTCTCATTAGTTTTTTTTTTTTTAAAGATTTTATTTATTTATTTGACAGAGACATAGTGAGAGAGGGAACACAAGCAAGGAGACTGGTAGAGGGAGAAGCAGGCTTCCCGCAGAGCAGGGAGCCCGATGCGGGGCTCGATCCCAGCACCCTGGGATCATGACCTGAGCCGAAGGCAGACGCTTAATGACTGAGCCACCCAGGCACCGCGGTTCTCATTGTTTTTAATTCCTTCAACCAGCATTTATTGGTTCCTCACAATGGTTCCACCACTGACTATAATGTGTTAGTCTCTAATTATGATGTTATGGAAAATCATATAAGACCTTACAAGTGGTTTTAGCAGAGGCACACCATTCATCACATTTGCCAAGTTAATGAAAATAGGTAGGATATTTAGTCTTTGTAGTGTCTCGTGACCTGGCACAATAATGCATGAAACAAAACTAAGTTGAGAAACATTTTCTTTCAGCAACCAAACATCTTAATGTTATACCACAGAGCCTGAGGTGAGCCCTGCCCCTGACAGAATCTTATTGTACCTCAGTCTTTTCTATCTTTAACTCTTAAGTATTTCTGATATTTAATTGGGTATTAATGGGAAAAGCAAGGCTGATTATTTGAACTGGAGAATTTCAGAATGAGCCTAGGCTAAAAGCTATCCAAGTAAAACATCTAAACTCAAACATCTGATATATGAAATTAAAATTATTAAGAGGTGATTGTCTAGGAAAGGGGCTATGGGGGCATGTAGTTGTAAACTACACTTGTACCATTATGCTGCTTAGTCTAGCATGAGATTTTGAATTGTCGAAATAAGTAAGTTACTTTGTTTCACAGGGATGTTTCCTCAAAAAATGGCCTTAAGACATTTTTCTCTCGAGAAAATTATAAAGACCATTCCATGGCTCCAAGTTTAAAAGAACTATGTGTTTTATCTAACAGGTAATATATTTATTTATTTGGTTGTTTATTTTCATATTTGTTATTTTTCTCTCAATTGAAGTTTTATATTTGTATCCACTATTAAACATTCAAAGTATAAAAATGTAAAAATTAGAAAATGGAAGAACCCAGTACCCAAGGATGACTAGTCTTTGGTATATGTGTATTTATATATATAGGTATAGATATAGATATATATAAACAAATCTTTTTGGACCTTTCTCCACATAGATATAAAAACAAAAATGAGATCATACTATAAATAATATTAAATACTATAAAACTGTTTTGCAGTTTGCTTTTTCATTTAAAATAATATTTCAAGTATCTTTCCATGCCTCTCTATATAGCTGAATCTTCTTAATTGTTACATAATGCTTCATTATGTAGATATACTTTCAATTCATTTACCTAGTCTGATATTGTAAAATGTGTTCCTCTTTTTTTTACTATAAACAATACATTGATGAAATTCTTGTAATAATTTTTATAAGATAAATTCATAGAAATTGAATTGTTCAGTCAGATGGCATATGCATTTTATATTTTAATAGATACTGCCAAATTGCCAGAGATTTTTTTCCCTCAGATATGAACATGCCTATTGAATGATAATTTTCCCTTCTCACTGTTTGCCTGCCTGTAACTGCTCTTCTTTCCTTTGTGATTGGCTATTTCTATTCTATTGTGGGTGAGTCTTGAAACCAAGTAATTGGGTTTACTAGAATGGACTGTAAATATGACAAGTGAGGAATTGGGCAGCTTCTCTAGAGGAGCTCAACATTTACTTTCATCCTTCTCCACTTGTTTTGCAATTGAGGAAGTATATTTCCAGCCTCTGTTTGGAATGGGTCCCCATCTGTTCCTGCCTTCTCAGTACCCTTTCTGTCAATTAGCATCTCTTCCTACTGCTATATTTTCATTCTCTCTTGATCGGTGTTTAAAGGTGCTCAAGTTTTTCCTGTCTCAATCCCTGGACTCCATTGTTACTTTCTTACCTCTTCTGTTATTTGTACTTAGATTTCTTTAAAAACTTGTATGTTTTTGCTAGGAGGAAACTATAAGACATGCAAAAAATGTTTAACAAAATGGCAATAATAATAAGTCCCTCCCTGTCAATTACTTTAAATGAATTAAACTGTCCAGTCAAAAGACAGATTGGGAGAATGGATTAATAAAACAGGATAAAACACTTCACTGCACATCTCACTACATTTGCTTTCACTGAACTTCCCACTCTAATCTGGCCTCCACCCTCACTAGTCTACTAAAACTGCTTCTCTCAAGATCATCAGTGACCTCTCGACTATAAAGATATCTCACTCTCCTAGTTTTCTGGTGATGGTGGTATTTCTGTCTCTTTTACCATCTTCATTTTCACGCTTGCCATACTGGCTCATTATACTCTCTGGAGCTTTTAAGAAATACTGATTTTGTACTCTCAACCTACGCTTTTGAATCTGAACCTTTAAGGATGTCTGTGGAATCAATTAATTGACCGCACTGATAGTCATTTAGGTTGTTTCCATTCCTTTCCTATTAAAACACTGAGCATCCTTTTATGCTATCCTTATATGCTGATAATATAAGTAGGATAAATCATATAAGAGGAGGCATGTATATGTTTTTTTGTTTTTTTTAAAGATTTTATTTATTTTTTATTATTTTTTTTAAGATTTTATTTATTTATTTGAGACAGAGAGAATGAGAGACAGAGAGCATGAGAGGGAGGAGGGTCAGAGGGAGAAGCAGACTCCCCGCCGAGCAGGGAGCCCGATACGGGACTCAATCCCAGGACTCCAGGATCATGACCTGAGCCGAAGGCAGTCGCTTAACCAACTGAGCCACCCAGGCGCCCAGATTTTATTTATTTATTTGACAGAGAGAGACACAGCGAGAGAGGGAACACAAGCAGGGGGAGTGGGAGAGGGAGAAGCAGGCTTCCCGCAGAGCAGGGAGCCTGATGCGGGGCTAGATCCCAGGACCTTGGGATCATGACCCGAGCTGGAGGCAGACGCCCAACGACTGAGCCACATAGATACTACCAGAGTGCCATTAGAAACATTTTTTAAAAAGTGCTTTTTTGATTCATCAGATGAATAAATAAATTCACATAAAAGCAAGTAGATGTTGTAGTAAAGAGGCGATTTTAAAAGCAACATTCTTACCTAAGTGCATAATTGTAATGTCTTTGCTAATACCACCTATAGAAGGTTGAGTAGATCCCATATAAATGCATCTGTGGATTTTTAAAGCTATTTTTTTATTCAACTTAGACCATTTCTTGAGGATACCAATTTCTTTTTTTAATTTCTTAAAACTTACTATCAAATAAAGAATTGCCTTTGTTTATTGGAATCAAAGAATGCCTACCAATTCTAGTATCCTGCAAGGGGAGGGTAAAAATGTATATCTTTACAACTTTTTTTAAAGGTAAAAGGAACATGTATCTTTAAAAAAACCAAAAAACAAAAACTTTTCACCACTCTATATACTTTTATCTCAGCCTTCATCTTTTCAGACTAAAAATTTTTAATACTAATCTTCATCCTGCCACTGCTTCTTATTTATTTTAATGGTTCTTCTCAAGTTTAGCTCTAGTCAGCATGTCGTAGGTGTGGGTTATAGTCTGAATTATGTAAGGGAGATGACATCTTGCTGGCAATTGGTACAGCTTCTAAAATATTTTCTTCTTAGAATATCCTTTAGATTTCTGTATAGCACAAAATAATAGTATAGTTTACCTTTTGGCATAGGAAAAATAAAGATATAAGGCATTGATTTCATATGTTTCTAGTCTTTTTTGCTCACATTAAATTTTATTAAGTTTTGTTAAGGAATGGATTTTCAGACTATTAATTTACGGATATTTTCTTGATGGAAAAATTAGAAAAAAATGTAAAATTTTTATTAACCCTAATTTTGTGTTTTTTGTGTTCTCTAACATTTGGGAAAATACTTCTAATTACTCTGCTTTCTGCAATAGGAGGTTTTTATTCAACCCTTCTCCCTCTACTGGAAGGTAAACATTTACCTTTTTTTAAATTAAAATTTTGGTTGTAGACACTTATAACTGAGTTTTGAGCCAACAATGGGGAAAGTAGCTTCAAATAAAAATTATGAAATTTCAACATGTTTAATATAGAAAACTATAAATCAAATTTAGGAGGTACAGGTAGACTTTAGATGGGGGCTAGAAGCACCATTTCCAAATGCCACTTAAAGAAGCCACCCAAACCAGTAGACTTAAAGCGTAGGAGACTAAAAGTTTGAATTCTGCTTTTTTTTTTTTTTTTTAGAAACGTTAAGCCAAAAAAGAGAATGGGTGGTTGACAAAAGGAAGGGGGAATACTTCAAACCATCAACTAAAATAAAGTATAATGCTGTAAATGTGGATAGAGAAACCCTGTCAGATGCTTTTGGCTTGCACCCTGATGAAGATTTTGACAGCACTGCACTCAGAAATGATCTTGATGTGCTGCCATTTCATTCTTTGCTGAATGTAGCCAATTTAAACTGCTAGAATTTCTTGACATTCCTACTCTGGCATATCTGAGTCAGCATCTTGTTGCTGCAGCAGCTTAATTAAATTTGCCAGTTTGTGCCACAAGGACAGACATGTTCTCATATTCAGAGAGACAGCTGTGAAGCAGTATTGTTAAGAGCTGCGGACACAATGCTGTTAGGTTTGAATAGCTCTCAAGACATTTTCTAGTGAGAAATCAATTTGCTGTAATACATTTCTCCCAAGATCAGCAGTTAATATTCATTTTGTTAACCTAAAATATGCTTATTTTTATACAGTTATTGGAGAAACTTTAGTAGCTAAGTATGTCTTCTTTCACCTGTATTATTTTCAGAGCCAAGTTAAGCATCCTTAATTTAATTTCCAAAATTCTTTTCCCATTCACTAACCAGCTCTCTTGATTAGTTTTCCATCTTTAGTTTAGCTCTTTAAGGGTGGGGCTGGATATTTTGCTTAATTTGGGGGCCTTAACTTTTTTCCTAAGAATCTTGGCACTTTTACCGTAATTATTCTAGTATTATAGAGCTGATTTAAAACAAATTATCGGTAGTTTTGGATGGGGTGCAGCCTTTATCGAGACACATACCTAGATTGATAATTCTCAGCCTTATCAGACCAACACCCTCCCACTTTTCATTACAAATATGTATGAGAAATAATATAACTCCTTTGCTAGCCCGAATTAAAATTCATAGATAATAATACTTTAAAAATGTCTCAGATATGTAAATGCGAAATCAAAGGAAATAATTTATACTATTTATTTTAATATGTAAATGCATAGATACTACTGTACTAGAAGATATAATGAAGTAGGCAGATGCACCAGCTAAAATGAACAAGGTTGGATTTTTTTTTAAGATTTTATTTATTTGAGAGAGAGAGCGGGGGGAGTGGCAGAGGGAGAGGGAGAAGCTGACTCCCTGCTGAGCAGGGACCCAGATGCAGGGCTCGATTCTGATCCCAATCCCCAGGACTCAGATCATGACCTGAGCTGAAGGCAGACGCTTTACCAACTGAGCCACCCAAGCACCCCAACAAGGTTGGATTTAAGAGAAGTTAACATGAACTATGCCATAGAAGAATCATAAAAATAAAAGAGAATAAAATGTATTGTTAGGATAAGTAATAACAGACCAGATTTGTTTGTATATGATTAAAAGAAAGCCTAAAGGAACCTTTGAAAGTTGTGTAGTATACTCTCATACATTACATTACAGGCAGCTAGTATTTCTCATCTCTTCGTGCCTTTAATTCTCCCCTTCTTTTTTGACAACCCAGATGCAACCACGGTCTTCTAAAATTCCCTAAAGAAATTAATACTGTCACAATTGAGCCCCTCCCCATTCTCCCTCTTTTTTTTTTTTTTTTTAGGTTTTATTTATTTGACAGAGAGCACAAGCAGGGGGAACAGCAGGCAGGGGCAGAGGGAAAAGCAGGCTCCCCGCTGAGCTGAGCAAGGAGCCTGATGCGGGACTCCATCTAAGGACCCTGAGATCATGACCTGAGCAGAACGCAGACACTTAGCCAACTGAGCCACCCAGCCATGCCCCCCCACCCCCGCCCCGCTTCTCTTCTCTCTCTTAATCCCTGATCATGTTATCCTTAGGATTCTTGGTCACCTATTCAGTAAGTTCAGTTTGGAAACCTGAGATCTCCATAGTTACACTCTATTGATATACATATATACATATTTACTTATCTTTCTTCCCCATTTATTTGTCTGATCCACTTGATTGTAAAGTTTTAGAGAGTAGAGACTGTATTGTTCCCATGTCCAGCACAAGGCTGACACATGGTAGTCACTTAGTAAATATTAATGAATGGGGGATGAAGAATGAATCAGCAGACCTCCATCCTTCTCATTAATTTCCCTTCTCTTATGTTACTGTTGTTTAATTTGGAACTAAATCATAGGGAACACTTACTGTGGTGGAAATTAGAATTGTGGAGGCTAAGGAAGTGTAGTTGTGTGTGTATGTATGTATTTGTGTACTTAAAACTCTTATTAAAAATGTAGATTACTACAATTGAATACTAGGAATAGTGACAAATTATGAACAAGATAAGAACTTTGTATTCATGTACCTCACTATTGCAGAAAGGTGATTTTTTTTTTTTTTTTTTTTAGAAATTGGGGATATCTTTTCATAAATATGGTAACAGGTTCTCTAGTTACTACTTTCTCCTCTAGTGCATTTCTTTGTAGATGTGCCACATTTTCTCTTTTGCATTCATTCAAAGCATAAAGACATTTCCATGGACTCAGCCATGTATGAGTGATAGAGGATTGTTCAACTTTTCTAAAACCACTATTGCTTCCATAAAATATGGCACACAGTGTTCGAATTTTCTTTTTAAATCTTGAGATAATTAAAGGAAACTAGAAAATATAGAATCTCAATTTGTGAACCTGTGACCTAAGCATATCCTGCTTTTAGTGGCTTTTGTTCACCATATTAACTAATACATCTTACTGAAGAACTTAAGCTTTTGAAAACAACTTGCATTGTAATAAAGGTGAACATGAAATACTTGCATCTATAATGGCAAGAGCAGTTTTCCTCTTTGAATAAAGGGGGAAAAGTTCCAAATTGAATAACTTGTCTCAGGATTTTGCCTCTTCCTCTCTGTCAGATAATTGAAGGTAAACTTGTAGTATGATCCTATCCTGCAGAATACTTAATTTACACCAAATGGCTAAACATCAAAATGCAGGTGGCAGAGTTAGATAATAATCCAGAATTTACTATGTTAATCATGCTATATTCTCCCTGGTGATTGAGAATCATGAAGTTCCATGATAGTAATCTTCATGTGAAAAGCACATATTTCTAAATTGTATTTTTTTTTCCAGACGTATAGGAGAAAATTTGAATGCATCAGCAAGTTCTGTAGAAAATGAGCCGGCAGTTAGTTCAGCAGCTCAAGCAAAGGAAAAAGTTAAAACCACAGTTGGAATGGTTCTTCTTCCAAAACCAAGAGTTCCTTATCCTCGTTTCTCTCGTTTCTCACAGAGAGAGCAGAGGAGTTATGTGGACTTGTTGGTTAAATACGCAAAAATTCCTGCAAATTCCAAAGCTGTTGGAATAAATAAAAATGACTACTTGCAGTACTTGGTATGTATTCTATTCTTCAGCTTCAGTAAACAGTATTTAAAAGTTAGGAAGTATTTTAACTTTGCTTTTATGTTTCTGGGTGCAGTTGTATTAACAAAAATGGAAAATTTAAGGAGTTTAATTGACAGAGCATTGGTGCTTTCATTCTTTTGTTGGTTCTATTATAGTTCAGGCATTTTGCTCTGGTTCTGAGCATATTTCACTCCAGTTCATCTTAAGTACTAGCAGAACAATTTTACATTGCTCACTGAACCAATTTTAAGTTTTTGTTTGATTAATTAGTAGTTTCAAGTTCTCAATTATATAAATGATGCTGTGTTGAACATCTTGGTTGCAAACTCTTTGTTCATATCTATAATTGTTTCCTTAAGATAAATTCTTAAAAATAAAATGGCCAGATCAAAAACTATACATATTTTTTGAGGCCTAGGTCTGCATTTACACATGGGAAAATTGTTATGCACAAAGTTTAAGCCAGTTTGTACCACTATTGCATGAAAGTTTTCTTTAAAAAAAAACCAAAAAACAAAAAAACTTCACTAACCCTGGATATTACCTTTTTGCCTCTAATTTGATATGGAAAAAATGGTGATGCCTTGTTTTATATTAATTTACAGTGTTTACTAATGAAAATAAGCCATTTCCATGTGTTCATAAGCCATTTCTATTTCTTTTGTAACTTGCCTATTCATGTTGTTTGCACATTTTTCCATTTGAATGTTTGTCTTTTATGTTAATTAAGAGCATTTTGTGGAAAAGCTTATTAATTCCTAAATAGGTAGTGTGATATTAGTCATTTGCTCTTTTTACAGAGTTAGGTTTTTTTTTTAAATTGAAGTGTAGTTGATAGGCAATATTGTATTAGTTTCAGGTGTTCCACATAGTGATTCAAGATTTATATACATTTTGGAGTTTTTAATAAGTTTGTCATTATTATATAACAGTGTTTACTCTTTCTCTGATTTCTGCTTTGGATAGAGACTTTAATTAGTCTTTAAGTCCAAATTATTAGAGCAGTGATTGAGAAGTGATTGTTTTTAATCAAGCTTATTCCATGACATGTCTACTTTTTTAAAAATCAGGATATGAAAAAACATGTGAATGAAGAAGTTACTGAATTCCTAAAGTTTTTGCAGAATTCTGCAAAGAAATGTGCACAGGATTATAACATGCTTTCTGATGATGCTCGTCTCTTCACGGAGGTAAAAAAAAAAAAAAATCATTTATTTAAACTGGCGAGTAATAGGCAATAACAGCATTTAAAATGTGTGATGATCCTGCCACAATCATATAAAGATCTCAGTATTATCAATTTAGAGACCAAATTGTGTGTAGGTCTTTTATTCAGCATGTATTTTAATAATGAAAATACTAGCACCTCAAAATCATATACACTAGTAGAATACTCATATTTGTTTTTTTTATTCTACTGATCCAACTACCAAATTTGAATTATATTTTATTCACATGGATGGTTTGATCTGATGCACTGATGTTCCTTGTGAGAGAATGGGTGTTTAAGGAGTTACCTTGGTCCTTAAAAATCTGAATGGTCATTTAGTACTTAGTCATATAAATTTGTGTTTGTTATCTTCATGGTAACCAGCTACCAAATGGAAGAATTTCAACTGTGAGTTCATTTTTTGATACTTACATCATTCATACAAATGTATTAGCAAAGCATGTAAACCACTATACTTTGTACCCTACCATCATTCAGTAGGCTTAGGAGAAATTCAAAATACACTATTTAAATGGTAACTATTAAAATGTATTATTGTATTAGAGTTTATCTACAAACACCAACATCAGTATGAATTTTTTTGAAGTCTTTAAAACTAATCATTCTATGCAGCCGTGTGATCCGCTTGACACTACTGAACTCTACATGTAAAATGGTTAAGATAGTAAGTTTCATGTGTATTTTACCACAATTCAAAACAAAACAAAACAACTGGTCCCTATAATTTAGGGGCAGCAAAGGATATTAATTTTACCATTTTTTAAACATATTTTAAGGTGAAATTTTGGTGTTAATATGAACCAGAAGAATGATTCTTCTAAACAAATGGAAGAATTGCATTTTTATTTTCTCTGAATCTACATATGGTATACTCAAACCAAGTGTCCTATTTTTCCATATGGAAAAGGAATTGTAGCTGTTCCTATTTTAATAGTGCCTTTGAAGGGACCAGAATGATGGTTCTAAAACGTAAGTCATATCCCTTCATGTCACTGGTTTAAAATGGTTTCTCAGTTCACTTAGAAAGAGAGGGCAAAAAAAAAAAAAAGAAAGAAAATTAAAAAAAAAAAAGAGGGTATTTACAAAGTTGTACAATGCCCTCATGATCACCCTCCCTCAACCACCGCCCCCCAAGCCCAGCCTGCTTCATCTTCTACATAGCTCCCTCTCAGTTCTCCTCCAGTCTACTGGCCTCTTTGTGTTACTTGAATACTCCAAGCATGGTCCTGCTTTAAGGACTTAGGCTCTTCCCATCTTTCTGGCAAGCTGTTCCCCAGATAAGTGCATGGATTAGTTCCTTGATTTAAGTCTCTCACTGTTCAGATGCCAACTATCAATAAGGATATCCCTAATTACCCTGTAACAAATAACATCACTTTCAGGGTTCCCTTTATCATGTTTTATTCTTTTTTATTGTCTTTTCCCACAACACCTATACATAAGTGCTTTTTTTTTTTTTTTAATATTTTATTTGTTTGACAGAGAGAGACACAGCGAGAGAGGGAACACAAGCAGGGGGAGTGGGAGAGGGAGAAGCAGGCCTCCCGCAGAGCAGGGAGCCCGATGCGGGCCTCGATCCCAGGACGCCGGGATCATGACCTGAGCCGAAGGCAGACACCCAACGACTGAGCCACCCAGGTGCCCCCATAAATGCTTTTTTGTGCACTGCTGTGCTCCCAATGACTAAGTAATGCCAGACAAACATTAAATTCTTAAGTGCTCATTGTAATTATTTAGTGAATATAAAAGTGTTTATTAACAAAGTACATTATTTGATAGGGAGTGTGATAGCTAATCAGCATTAAGTCTTGTTTTTTAGTCACATTGACTTGGCAATATATTTTGTCTGATTTACATTTTACCTCTCCACCCTAAAGGTTCACTGATATTTTTCTGATTTTTTAGTGTTTTAAAATTTTAATTTTATATTATGAAGTGCAGTATACTTACAGAGAAGTATATAGAACAAATATATACAGCTTAACAAATAATTATATAGTAAACACCTATGTAAGTCTCTTACAAGTCAAGAAATAAAACATTACCAGTAACCCAGAAGCTCCCTGTACATCCCTCCTAATAATAACATTCTCCCTTCTTGAAGAAGTAATCACTGTCACAGTTTGGTGTTGATAATTTTCATGCACTTTTTTTGGTAATTCTTCGAACTCACTTTTGCCTGTTTTTGAGTTTTATGTGAACAGAATTCTTCCTTCACTCATTATGTTTGGGTGAGATTCATCTGCATGTATGTGTGTAGTTGTAGTTCATTCATTTTCTTTTCTGTCCATTATTACATTACATAAATAAACTATAATTCTATTGATCACAGTTTGAGTTGTTTCCTGTTTGGAGCTATTCTAAGCAGTGTTCCTATGAAAATTCTCATACATGTCTCTTGGTGCACATGTGCACACATTTCTACTGGGTATATACCCAGGAATGGAATTGTTGAGTCATAGAGTATACACATCTTTAACTTTAGTAAATAATGTCTAACTGTTTTCCAAAGGATTATGCCACTTTACAGTCTACCTTTGAGAGTTTTGTTGGTCCATACCCTCAAGTTAATACATACATGGTGGTCATTTCAGTTTTAGCCAATCTAGAGGATATGGTATTATATATGTAATAAGACTTTGCATCTTTTCATATGCTGATTGGTTATTTCTTATGAATCAGCTGTTCAAGTTTTGCCCTATATTCTACTGGATTTTTTGTTGTTGATATGTGGGAGTTCTTTGTATATTTGAAATATACAAATTTTATGGGTTATGTATGTTGGAAATTTTTTCTTTTATTTGATAAAATGGTCACTTTTAATCTACAAATTTCCCCTCAATTCCTTTCTTTTCCTTAAACTTTATCTTTTCAAGAACTTGGGTCATTTGACCTGTAAAGTTTCCTATGGTCTAGATTTTGATGAGTGCTTATTCACAGTGACATTCAACATGTTCCTCTTTTCTCTGTATTTCTTACAAATTGTCGATGGGATCTGGAAGCTTGATCAGAATTAGTCTTGGCCAAATGGATCCAACACATAGATGTTGTATTCTTTAATCAGGTGGCACATATGTCTGGTTGTTTCTTTTTTGTGGTGGTTGCAGCTGTTCGTGTTCAATGCCTAGATCTAGTCATTCACTGGGTTTATAAAATCGTAGGATTCTAGTTGCATCATTTATTTGTATTTATTAGTTGGAATAATTTTATTAAGATATGTTTTCCCTCATCTATGTGGTTTCCCGATTCTTGTAGCAGAAAAAACTGCTAGATTCTTTCCCTTTATATGCCAGTTTTGAAAAAATTGATTCCTTCTTCTCCAATGTTGGTCAATGTTTTCTTTTTTAAAAGTATTATGGGTTTTAGTCCACTGTAATTACTCTTTTTGAAGCTCAAATAATACCAGCTTTAGCCAGTGACCGCTCTTCATACTGGCTTTTGAGTCTTTTTGAGTCACTGTGGTAGTCTTTGAGGCTTGTTTTGTACATTTCCTGTCTCAACCCTGGAATCAGCAATTCTCCAGAGCCCTTGTTTCTTTCAATGGCAAGTTTTATTTCAAGTCTACAGTCTGTGTACTGGGGATGCTCATTGCTCCTGGATTGGTCATTGTTTCTGAGAATATTTCAGTAGATGGAGCTAGGAAATAGTTATTTAAAGAAAAAAATACCACATGTATCTCATTTACTTTATACCACATTATACTCACAACAACCTTAGAATAACAGTACTATCAATCAATGGGATACTGAAAACAGTTTGGAAAAATTTTTGTATGTTCTCCCTATTCTCCCCTACTTTTTTTTTTGTTTTTAAGATTTTATCCACTTATTAGAGAGAGAGCACGAGCAGGAGGGACAGAGGGAGAGGGAGAAGCAGACTCCCTGCTGAGCGGGGAGCCCGATGTGGGGCTTGATTCCAGGACCCTGGAATCATGACCTGAGCCGAAGGCAGATGCTTAACCAACAGAGCCACCTAGCACCCCTCCCCTACTTTTTTTTTTTAAAAAAGGTTGTACTTTATCTATGTTGTTAAAGCATTAATTATTACATACTAAATAAGCTCTTCCTTTTTACCATATTTAATTCTAAATCAATTTTAGTGAAGTATATATAATTTACATATAATGATCCATTTTAAGTGCATGTCACTGAGTTTTCACAAATGCGTATACCTGTGTAACCATGACCACAATCATGATAGGGTATGTTTCCATCACACTTAAAAGATCTCTATGCCTCTTTCTATCCGTGGCCTAGGAAACCACCAGTATGCTTTCTGTTTCCATGGATTAGATTTGCCTTTTCTAGAGTTTCATAAAAACTGAGTCACACACAATGTATTCTTATGTCTGGCTTCTTTCATTCAGCATTTTTTTTTGAGATTCATCCACATTGACACAAATATGCATAATGTGTTCCTTTTTATTCCTTTTTGTTTTATTGTATACACCAAAATTGGTTTATCAGTTCAGCTGTTGATGGACATTTGTGTTATTTCCAGTTTGGGGCAATTATGAATAAAGCTACTATGAGCATTCTTATATGAGGTTTTTTGGGAACATATGTTTTCATTCTTCTTGGGTAAAGAACAAGGGGTAGAATTTCCAGATCATATGGCAAGTGTAGTTAAATGTTGTTAGAAACTGCCAAGCTTTGTCATAATGGATGTACCATTTTACACTCATCACAAATGTTTAAAAGTTCTAGTTGCCCTGTACTTTTGCTAACACTTAGTATTGGTGATTTTTTTTTTAGAAAAGTAAAGTTTTGACCTCAGGTTTCATGTTCCTTCCTGTTGATGACCTTAGTCGCACCCATGCAATTCTTTTTTTTTTCTTTTTCCAAATTTTTATTTTCTTGTTAGTTAACATAGAGTATAGTACTGGTTTCAGGAGTAGAATTTAGTGATTCATCACTTACATATAATACCCAGTGCTCATCATTACAAGTTCCCTCCTTA